ATATATATATATCATACATCATATATCATATATTTTATCAATGTAGACTTCCAATATTATTAATAATATATTTTTATTAATTAAAATTATATAAACGAAATATGACATGACATCATTAGTTAATAATCTTTTTTAGACTTTCAAATTACTTTTGCAATATATGAAGTCACTCACTATTAGTTAGAATTGGATATATTACTTGTATATAAGTGTGCAAATAAATGAGTTGTATTGGATTATTATTATTATTTTTTAAAATGGAGTTAAGATAAAATGATTTGCATATGAAATTAATATGGATGATTTACGAAAATATGTGTTATTTTCATAAATATGAAAATTTAAAGTTTATAATTATTTTTTAATAATTTTTCTCTTAAAGTTAAATTATTATGTATAAGTTGATTTTTATTGAATTCAGTTCAAATTAAATATCTTAAAATTATTTTTTAAATAAACTTAAATAAAATTTCATTCAAATTATAATCAACTATAATAATAATTAATCATACATTTAATTAATTATTAAAATAAATTAATTTTCATGCTCGCTTTCCACTTTAAGATTTACACTTTGTTTGGAAGCGTGGAGAAAAGTGAGAAGAGGAACAAAATGACAAAAATTATGAAAATTGTGCTTATTTGGTAGTAGCAATTAAGGGAGGAAAGATTTTATAATTTGGTGTGTCCCACTTTTTTTTTCTTTGTTGATATGCACAAAAAATGCAATGAAAGTTGAATATCAATATTCATTTGACAAAAATACCCTTGATTTGTGTTTGAGACGTAACTCTTCGTGGTCCACAAAACTACAATAGTAACTTCTTGTTGTCTCCAATTGTGGTTGTTGTTGGAGCTCATGGAATGCTGGGAGTTGCCGAGTCATCTTCTTCTTCCCAGAGTGCCTTGCTCCATTGTTGATAAGAACTAGTTCATGTTACGTTAACTTTTTGATTTATGATTATTATTCTCAATGAGAATTTAGAAAATGCTTACATGCGTGTTTATGTTGGATCCAAGTTTGTGTTTTTGTTGCAAATTTATGCTTGAAACAGGTTGGGGGTGTTTAAACAATGTTTTTTGTGAACACTTCAAATATGTTGAAGGTGTTGTTTATGGTAGCCTTGGAAACTTTCAATCGATTAAAATGTTTTTTTTTTTATAATATATTAAATTGATATAGTTAATTGATTAAGTATCTAGTGTTAATCAGTTAATAACATATTGCGAATATTCTTCATCATATATTCTATTTCAATCAATTCAAATTACAAAACAATCGTTTGGATCATTTTGATCATGTATTCATAATCCATTATATTCTATCTCCATCTATTGAAATTACAACGTAATCTATTAAATCATTTTGACCGTGTATTTATCATCACTATTTTCCATTTCATTTGATTAAAATTACAAAGTAATCGGTTGAACCATTTGATCATGTATTCATGACCAATATTTTCCATTTCAATATATTAAAGTTACAAAGTAATCGTAGAATCATTTTGACTAGTAAACCACATTTGTCATTTTAATCTCTTAACCTTTTAAGTAATCAGTTATATCATTTTGACACGTGTTCATGTGCAATTTATTAATTAATTAAAATTTATAAACAATCATTTGAATTATTTTAATGCTCCTCCATGACTTTAAAACATGTCATTGATAAAAAAAGGACGTGTTTATGAACTAGTTGAGTTCAACTTAATTAGAATTAAAAAATTACACTAAATTTTTTTTTGTTATTTTTGTT